GGACCAAGCGGCAACTGAAAGTAAGAATGCGAACTCTCATGGCACCTCCCCCTACCTGACTTCGGCAAGCACTGTATGCATGTAGCGCTGCTAGATAACGCCAACGGAACTCGTCGCAGTGCAAACACAGTCACCAGCAGCTGCCAGGCATTTCTGCAGAGCAATTGAGGGACCGCAGCCTAATCAGGCCAACAATGGCGCCACGTGCTGAGCAACCTGATCATGCTGCTGGCATACATAGCGTGCTTCTAGACACATCCTTCGGGAGATGATCCGTTCATCCTTCAGGAAAAGTCACGAAGCGAACGGCACGGCGCCGCTGGGGGGCCCAGAGAAACAGCTGCAGTGAAACACATGCCTTTGCGTTTAGCTACCTGTCAAGGAAAGAGCTTCGTTCCACGGACGGCTAGCTTCTAGCTGTCCCCCACAGATTGCACTAGGGTAGTATTTGTGTTCGCACTAGCCATGGGTCTGAGGCCTATCTACTTGGACTACAATGGTCCCACGCCAGTTCCACAGGGATTCAGGATTTCCAGTGTACCGGAGCACAGTTTGTGTGCCACCTTGTTCGTCTACGTTGGTCGGCCAGGTTTATTTGGCAGTTCCAGGACAGGGAACGTGCGCTCACCCATGTGTTCTTGGCATGGTGTTACAATTTGTCCAGGTACCACTCCAATAGACAAGGAGGTTTGCGCTGCCATGACCACCATGATGCCAAGGGCTCGGTGTTTGAGTCTGGTGCTGCCGCATGAGAGTTTCTCTCAAGAGTATAGATGGCTTTGGAGCATGAAATTCAGGAACACCCACTGGGGCAATCCGTCCTCGTCTCACTTCTACGGCATTCAGGCCAGGTTCCGCTGTGTTGCCCCGAATGAGCTCAATGGGGTAGCACATACAATCTAGCTGTTTGCTGCAACTGCGGAATTCAGGGATGCTGTTCATGTAGTTTAAAGATGTGAAAAGGTAATGGTGCTGTCGAGCCGCCTGGATTTCACCACTGCTTGCGTTTGCCGTGTCAATTCAGCCTTTGTCAAATCCTTGGTGAGAGGATTCTGTGCATTCTATTCTGTGTAAGTATCCAAGACTCTCTCAGAGGGGTGAAGCAGTGCGCGTTTTGTTGCTAGTGTAGGGCATGACAGAGCACGTCTTGAGAGTCAGGGCACCGCAACTTGTTCATCCGACGCTTACACTCCAGCAGTTCTCCTAGATAGCCTGTCAGACCCTCGTGACTGGTGAGCCTTCAAAAGTGCTTTGCATGACCTTTGAGCCCCCTCTGTAGTCAGAAATCGCAGGCCAAGAAAGCCTTGGAAACTGCGCGGAGGCATTTGGTCTGCCCAATGCTGGGTTCACACTAGGGTATAGCTAGCTGATTAGGGACCGCATATTGTGAGGCATTACATTCGTAAGGCAGCAGGCCTATGGTCCTGTTGGGCCCGTTGAGGGTACTCTAGGTCCTTAGGACTCAGGACCTCTTTGGATTCACGCCCGTGCTTCATCGGAGTGGGAGGGATGTCGCCCAGACATTTTTGAATGTATTGTAGGACTGGGATGCAACACGGAGTCCCTCCAAGGAGCTCTGGGCAGAAACAAGTTTCATCCAGTGGTAGAGTAGGGGTTTAGGATACTAAGCAGCCTGCCTACATCTATGCGGTTGCTGAGCGCACCCCTGTTTCCAGAACATTGCTTTTGGAATTACTGCCAGTCATTAGTAGTTGACCTAGTAGTTAGTATCAGCATGTTTTGTACTGTTGTTGCTTTTGCATTGTCTTAAACTAATGTTTTTAAGTACTAATGTACCTACTGGTAGTAGGTAGGGAGTAAGGGAAGAGAATATAATCCCATCGTAATCCCTATATAGCAAATTCCCTCCTTCCCTACATGCCCCCTATATTTCCCCTTTTTCGTGTATGGTCCCTGTATAACCCTATACTATGCCACTGCTTTCCCTGCTTCCCTGCTAACCCCCTAAACCCTAAATCCTAAACCCCAAACCGTGAGAGAGCAGCAGTTGTGGGAAGCAGAAAGGCAAGCCAGAGAGTTGATGGAATATGAAAGGGATAGGGAGCTGCAGGAACACGAGGATGAGGCCAGCTACGAAGCGCTGCAGGCTCAATATGCCCAGGAGTGGGATGACTGGGTGCTTTGGCGTTCAATGCACTCCACCAGTCCTGCCAGATCGCGGTCGGCCAAGCGACAGAGAATGACCTTGCATCTTCAAGTTCAAGGTGAAGTGACGCCGGCACACAAGATGGACTTTGATGTCACCCCGGGTGTGCCGCTGACCATTGGCCTCACATGGGCAATCATGGAGGATGGGGAGGGGGTGGAGCAGGACAGCAGGCCGGCATGTGAAATGGCTAGTGGGAGTCGCAGTTCAACTGAGAGGGTGAGCCCGGTGACGCCTGAACCGCATGTGAGCGAGGGTGATAGTGCACACCGACCGGTACAGGGTCCAGGGCATATCTCTGAAACGGAGTTGGCCGCTTTTATGACTGGGGAAGAGGGCTTGAGTGTGTTTCAGGCGTGGAACTCAGGGGGCTTTTCTGCAGAGCAAATCCTGCGCCTCTATGGGAAGCACGTGCTGGAAGCCTTTGTGGCTAATAAGTTGGTCCTGGAGACCGGTACGCAGAGTGGTGTTTGAGGGGGCAGCAAATCGCCTGGGCCTATGGGACCCTTTGTTCTGCAGAGAGCAAAAGAGGCGCTCAAAAAAAAAACAAACCCAAACCCTAAATCCTAAACTCTGAACCCTGAACCCAAAAATCCTTAAATCCTAAACCCTAAACCCTAAACCCAAAAAATCCTAAACCCTAAACCCTGATTCCCTACTAACCGCCCTCGGGAGTAAGTAGAAGCAACTACTCTTCTGGCCAGGCAGTGTGCGGAGCTCATCGGAGCCGAGCCAGGCCTCCTTTTAAAGGGAGTAAAGGAAAATAGGATTTAGGGCTTAGGGTTTAGGGCTTAGGGTTTAGGGTTTAGGATTTTCGCTTTTGGGCTTAGGGTTTAGGTGAACCCCCCCCCCCACCCTGTAATAGTTTGTATAAGGGGTATTTAGGATTATATCCGGGTCCTATTCTATTCCTCTTATATTACAGAGTGGGGGGGTTCCACCGAAAATGTACCTACCAAGGTCCTTATACTCGTATTATATTCCTACGATATTTTTGGGGTTCCCATTTTACTCTCTTTATCCGTGGGGTGGATGCTCATGAGGACTTTTTTTGTGTCTGTAGGGTTCTATTAGCGATTTGTAGGCTATGTATGAGATATATGATAGGGATATCAAAAGGTTGTTCTTAGGGCTTAGGGCTATGTTGCCCCAAAAGTGCAAAATCCAATATGGAAACGTAAATGTTTTCTTTAAATCCATCCGATCAGCTGCAGCAGTAGAAGAGTAGTAATGGTGGCGGCGGCGGCGGCGGCAGTGTTCGTGTCTAGAAGACAAAGCCGCACAACGAATGCAACAAAGGCAGCGAGAGAAACCAGAGTAACATCACATTAATCTCTGGAAATGTTCAACCAATTGGGGGAAAACCTTTTCCCCCCAATTGTTTATCTATTTGTGGAATTCTTCCACACGGTGATCATGGAGACCCTAGCTTGATCAGGCAGGCAGGGGGACGGCGATTGCATGAGCAGGATTGCAATGTTCGTGATGACGGAGACGCAGTCTGACCATAGCTTGCAGATTTCGGTTTTATAAGAGCCTTACTTTGGAGGTGGTGTTCTCCGAAGCCTGTATAAGTAAACTTGTATCGTCACTTGTTCGGTTAAGGACGTAGCTTTGTCGGGAGAACGCTTCCAGTTTCAATTTGATGCCTCTGCATACTGAGAAAGCTTGGGCCCAAGAGCCCTGCCTGAGAGCACGTGTGGGTGCCTTGGGCCAATGAAGTCTCCAGCGGCGTGCTGGTTGCCAGAGTCTCAAACAACTCTGCCTTGATGCCAGTAGCCTCCTCGCCTCAATTTTTTCTGACCATGCTTCGAGTAGTTGCCTGCCATGCTCAGCGACACCGTCCAAACTTGGTGATGACTGATTTATCCTTGCAGATCCTTACAGAAATACACAGTTCAGGGTATTTGGGCTCTGGCTGGCGTGACTTTTACGCAGCTAGTCAAAGCAAGCGAGGCATGACATGTATGTCAAGGCTGGCACTGGTGCTTGTGTCTTCATGATTGTCGAATTCTTTATCTCAAAGCTATGCATGGCAAAATCTTGCAGCTCCAAGATGTTGCATCGGTGCTCGCCCATAAATCGACCTCGGCTGAACCATCAAGGTGGCTCCTTCTCTGTGCTGCCCTGCCAGAGGCCTGGCAGATACTCATGCTTTTAGAAGTTCAGAAGTTCAGGATATATGGGTCCGGCCAGCGTAGGGTACGTTTCATTTTCAAATATGCAAAGATTTCTGTTTTTGAAGGGTTCGGAAGCATGACACACCCCCAAACAAATAGTACAGCTCCTGACACGTCTCATGTAGAAGGCCTGGCGACCTCCACATCAAAAAAGGCTGACCCAACATTTCTTATCAAGAAGGTTTTTTACAGGGATGAGGTTTGGGCTAGGGAGTAGGGCGTGAGGGTAGCATGAAGGAAAGGGGAGGTAGGGGACGCATGAAAGCCACCAATCTAAGAAACGTAGATGTCGGACTTTTGGGGCTTTAGGAGGCCCAAAAGCCTCAACATAGAAACGCAGACGTAGCCCCCCGTACATTGCCCACACATTTCTGACTTGTGGGATTTCAGGAGGCTGCAAAAAATCGAAACAGGAAACGTAGCCCACTAAAGGGCCAAGCCCCATCTCGTTGGGTATCCTTCATGTCTGAGCTAGAACGCAGATTGATTTTTGGTGTTGTCCAGCTGACGTAGCCCCTGTATTTCTGAACCGTTCATTTCTTGTACAGTGGCTGCGCTGTAGTCATCAGCAGCAGGCATCTCAGGGGCTAACTCTTTGGAGCCTTGTCAAGCAGTGGTTCCTGGCCCAACTTACACTACGTGTAGCCTTTGTCATGCCCTCTTCCTGGACACGTTGCGACGTGAATCCTACGCAGGCTTTGTACGCTCTGGCGCCAGCCTTGGTGGCGGCTGACACGAAAAAGGCTTCCGGAAGTCTCCAGCAGGAAGAGAATGAGACCAACGAGGAGGACGAAGGCAAACTGGAGAAAACATGCATTCTTGGCAGGTGTTATGCTGTGGTCAAGCTGCCAACCCTTGTGTTATGGCCAGCCGTCATTGGCGCACATTCTTTGTGAGTCCTGATGTGGGGGGAGCCCTGTCCTGAACGCACGTTAGAAGGCTCGTGAGGCACCGTTTCTGAAACTGGCCACGTATGGTGGCTCGAAATATTAAAGCAGGTTCTGACGACGATGAGGAGGAGGATGACAGCAGCGAGGTACCTCAGAGTTCAAACGCCACGCCCTTCGGATGAGAATGCTTCAGTATTGCCTCTGGCAATGGTCTGTATGCACTAAGCAGAGGCTTCGGATCATGTCCTGCTTGGGTTTATTTGGAGACTGGGTTCTAGTCTGAGGTCCTCATTGTGAAGTATGCAAGCAGACCTGGCTGTTTAAAGTTCAAACATCCTTCCGGAGCCCTGAAGCTACGGGTGTCCAAAGCCAGAGACCATGTCCTCAATAACCTGTATAAAGCTCTCCAATATAATCCCCGATATAACCCCCTTTAAGGAGTTTAGGCCTTAAATCCAAAACCCTGAACCTTCAACGCGTGGGGTTTATAAAGCCAAAACCTTGAATCCTATGTAATCCACTATTTAGCCACGTAGTGGGCATGAAGAACTGAGGTTGGCTCTGACACAGATTGCCTCGCAGCCCTCAAGCGTCCGCAGCGAGTCCCCAGGAGGCCTGTGCCCAAAATCAGGGTTACCTTTTAAAGGGGTTATAGGGGTTATATAGGGTTATACGGGGATTATAAAGGGTTATATAGGATTTAGGGTTTCCCAGACCTGGGGAGATCCCTATAGTAAGGCTTCTAGTTTTTTGGCGTCTATACTGGAGCCCCCCTGTTCTGGGAAACTATCATATTAGAGATTGTTCCTGCTCATTTTGCGTGGATGAAGGTGCCGAAAGGCTCACCAGCAACCCTCCCGAAAGTCTTGAGATGGGCATTTTGAGCACTCGAAAGTCACACTACACTTGACATCCGACTTGAGGCTCTCCTCCTACATCTGGTGCGGCAGACACTCTGCCCGCCAACTTCGATGTGCTCTGCCAAGTTGAGATGGGACTGCAATGTGCTTGAAGCGTGTATCTTCTCGCAGCATGGCCTTATAGTCTGAACGCCTTAAAGGGGGTATACAGGGGATTATATAGGGGAGTATTTTGCGAGTTATTAAGTTATTGAGGGGGATACTAGGAGTTCAGACTAGCTCATGTGGCCCCATGGCTTCAACTCGCCTCACCTCCCTGCGTAGATAGGCGGGGTTCCTTGCCTGCCTTGTCTGAATCTAGGCGATCTCCTTCCTAGCAGAGACCGAGACTGCGGAGGCCACCCTGCTCACGGTTTAACAGATTATGTGCAGGTTCACGACGGCAGTACCTCAAAACAACCGTAAGCCCTTTAACCTCTGGTATCTCTACACGCCCAAACCCCCGTAGAACCATGAACTAGCTTTCATCTTGCGCTGCATCCCGCCATGCAAGTGGCAAGCAACGAACATTGATCGTATCTGAGACTTGAAATATGGGCCCTTAATCTGGGTACGCTAAAAAGCCCTACAAGCCCAATTAGGAGACCATAGCAGCCATGAAGCAGGTAGGAGCCCACCCTAAACCCTAAACCCTCTGGTTGTCGTTGGCCTTTTTCCTGGGGCCGGCTAGCTTTGCTGGGAGTCCGAAACGAACCGCGCCTGCTTGGAGCAATGCGCGTACCCAAACCCCAGCTAAACTCGAAACAAACATAGTAGGTTTCCATTTTTTATTATCCTATACATTACTATGTATCCCTATATGCCCTGCATATATTTTCCCATACATTCCCAAAAATCCCCATGTATTCCCATGTATTCCTATATCCTGTTTCCTAAGCCCTAAATCCTACACCCTAAACCCTAAATCTCCCTGTATATCCCAAGATGAGGAGGCAGCCTCGGCGGCTGAGGCGGAGGCCATGGTGGCAGAGGCCGGCTGATGCTAATCTCCTAACGTACTCGGGGTTTAGGATTTAGGATGTACGGCTTAGGGTTTAGGGTATGGTCACGGCATAGGATGCTCGCTGGTGTGGGGCACACCCAGGCCGCGCGCATCGGTGCGTAGCAGTCAACCCACCCCATGACCACCCTCAGTTCAAGCAATTTAGGGTTTAGTTCCTGAAGTCTTATAACATCCCGCCGGGCGCCCAGGCAGCACCGAAGAGGGCCGCCATTCAATCGGCGGATCGTCAGCCGTCGCGACGCGATGTTGGGTTACTTTCGAGGCAGCATGGGACAGCCGCTCAATGGTGATGATCAGTCTTGGCTTTCTGGCAGGCTGTTGTGTCGGGGGTGCTTCCGCTTAAATTGCGGCTGCTCGGGCACGATCGCAATTGGTCCAGAAATCGGTCTCGCGATCGGTCCAGAATTGGCCTGGGGAGAATCCGCAATTGAAGCAGCCAAATTTGGTGGGAGACGCCAGAATTGGCATTGGATTCGTCCGAGCCAGGAGGGAGCCGGACACCTGGAAGCGTTCCGCAATTGGTGTGGAAGCGGCCAAATTCGCTACGGGAGACACCAGAACTGGTCCGGGAGCAGCAAAGGGCGTGCAGTTTTGGTCTAGGCGGAGCAGCCGAATTGCACACAGTTTTGGTTTGGTGGGAAATTATTGGAAGACCTTGAACGGTCGATTTTGAATTTGCCAGGCCTGGCAGACCCTGGGGCGTGGTCCAAGAAGGTCCCAAGGACGCGAGAACAAAAACCCCCAAGTTTTGGGTTTGTCCTGTACAACGCTACGTTTATAAGAGCCTCCGTAGGAGACCCCGACACGGTGCCATGGATGGCGGCAGTCGCCCAGCTTGATCTGGGCTCCATGACGTTCTCTGCCGCNNGTTGTCAAGCCCTCAGCTAAGACTTTAGGGTTTAGGGTTTAGGATTTAGGATTCAGGGTTGAGGGTTTAGGATTTAGGGTTTAGGTTAGTAGGGCATAAGGTAGTCCACTCTTTATCTACAGCCTATTTTATAGTCAGCAGTTTAGGGTTTAGGGGTGACGTTATAAGGGTTGTAAAGGGGATTAGGGTTTAGGGTTGAGGGGTGGAGCCATGAGGGTTGTAAAGGGGATTGGGGTTTAGGGTGTAGGGGTGGGGTTGCAAAGGGGATTAGGGATTAGGATTTGGGGTTTAGGGGATGGGGTTACAAGGTTTTAGAGGGGATTGTGTAAGGATATCTAGGGTTAAGGGCCTTCAATAATCAGGCCCCCCCCCTTTGGCGTCCTACCAGGTATGAGCTGGGCTCAAACGAAAATGTTATCATGGAAGCACTAGGAGTGGACGTAAGGTTCCTTATTGTAATTCAGTGTCGTGAGACATGATCCCACACAGCCCGCCATGTTTATTGCTGGCTACAAAAGCAATTAAAATTGTAGCTAGTACGGAAGTTTTTCAAGAAGATTTTTGCTTTCTGGGGGTGCTCGGAACTAACACCCTTCAGTTTGGATGTGTGTAAGGGCGGCTTTTTTTCCACACATGGCAAGAACGGGGTTCTCGACATGTTTGTGCCTCACAAAAGTGCGCGCCCAGCCAATGGGTGCTCATGCTGAGAACCACTTCTTGATTGTTCTTCAGCTCTTCTGTCGAGTGCTTCCAACATCATCAGTGCTCCACAGCATCGTCATTGCAGTTGTCATTGCATCCTATAGAGGCAGGATTTTTTCACTGCATCATGGAGGGTGCTTTCTGGATCAGCAAAAGTCTCCGCACTACCAGAGCTGAGCTCCGTTACCACGACTTAGTCACGACTTGTGATCAATATCATTGTTGCCGTGTTGGAGGTAGCAACTTGTGGTTATCCTTATTTCCCGTGTTTCTCCAGCGCATCCTTCTGCCTAGGTATGGAGGGCAATTTTTGACAAGGGCTCCCACTAGCAATCTCAACTGACTAGAAAGCTGACATATCCCAAAATTTCTTTTCGCTGGTTTCGCTCTGCACTCCACATAAACGGGCCCGAGAAGGATCAATCAAACCCTCAACTCTTAGTTCTAAATTTGGAAAAATCTTCAAAGAGAGTGCGTAATCCTCATATAGTTATAATCCCTCAAAATCCTGTCAGCCTGAAATAGAGGTTGCATTCTTTTGCGAATGTAAATAAAGATACCTTTCCAGCTCTCCAAAGCCAGGCGGCCGCCGTCCGCTCGGCGGCCAGACTCCGAAAGGCGCAGCAGCGCCGCGCCGCTGGCGGCAGTGAGGAGGTGCTTCGGGTTCGTGCAGCAGAACGCCTCGCAAGGTGGTCTAGCATATCTTGTAAGATACAAGTTCATTTAGTACGTTGAGAATATCTTGAAATTTTAAAGGTTAATCTTGCAAAGTTTAAACAAGTTGCAGTTGCCTAAACTTAATGTAGCAAGTTTAAGCCAATCCTGTATAACAGGGAGGGAAGGGGATCAGGGTTGAGGAGAATAGGCTCGAGAGGTGGTGAGGTTGGATCTGGGAATGAGGACTTAGCCTAGACAGATCTAGGGTTTAGGGTTTAAGGTTTAGGTGTGGGGTGTTGGGATTTGACGGATTTGAAGCGGTTAGGGTTTGGAGAGTTTGCTGCTTCCTGTTGGAACCCCAGGAGACTTACGCTTCTGAAAGGTGAATGACGCTCTTTTGGGCTTGAGCGCTGAGTCCCAAGCCTGAAGCAAAGCCTTAGTCTGAAGCTGGAAATCCTCAGCATCTCGCAGTGGTGGAAGGACCGGCAGATGGCGGAAACCTCCCTCCATGCGGCGCAGGTCGCACACAACATCTCTTGGTCTATGTAACACTGAGGGTTTCATGAGGCAACTACAGAGCCTTATGTAGGGCTTTACCACAATTATGGTGCGAATGTGTGTGGCTCATGCATTTGTGCTCGCAAGCACCATGGGAGTAAAAGAAAAGGGTTCATGCGCTGGATGGGGTCTTGCAGCGCTTATACCACATCCCCGAGGAGGATCTTGTTTTGGAGACCCTAGGTGGTGCAGAATTCCTGCATCAATAGTAGCAGGCTGAAGTGCACATTTGGTCTCTGCAGAGTACGGTCCGTACTATATCCCATCACAAGCTTTCAAATAAACGGCGCTTGCTGTGCGCCCAAGATGGACAACCCATATCCAACACTCCGTGTAGTCTTAAAACATGGGCTTGCAAGACACTCCTGCTGGTATTTTCTCGTTCGCAATGCCAGCTGTCACTATCATCATGACGGTTTTGTTTTCCCGCTATGAGTATTCTTGCGGGTCTTTACTTGCTATTGGCTATAGTTCTGAGTCCTACACTCCTGGCAGGGAACCACAAGAGCTTGGTAGCTGTAAAGTAGGTACATTAGCATCTGCTTCTTCACTTTGTATGTACAAGCGGACCCCGAACCCTGAATGCTGAACCAAACCCCAAACCCTGAAACCCTAAGATCGCAAAAGCCTGAAACAGTAAAGATTTCTCTGGAACCCTCTAGTCGAAAGTTTGACAGCCTGAAGTTTATAAATCCCCTAGATGTCGTTTATATTTCCCTTATACAACCCTACATAACCCCTGGATCCCCTGTACCCCAAACCCTAAGCCTTACATAACCCCTATATGGTAGTTTCCCAAAATTATGGGACCCCAATATAAAACCCAAAATGCTATAATCCTTGTTATAAGGACCCCTAAAAAGGTACCCCTAAGTGTGGGAAACCCCTATATCCCCTTTGAAAGGGGCCTTAGACCTCCCCAAAGGCGGCCTGGGAGCAGAGAGCACCCAAAGCTCGCGACCTGGCAGCTGGGGCTCCTCAGCCACGCTTTGCTAGGGTTTAGGGTTTAAGGGCTTAGGGTTTAGGGGTTTAGGGTTTAGGGGTTTAGGGTTTAATGGTCTAGGCTTTAGGGGTTTAGGCTTTGGGTTTAGGGTGTAGGGATTAGGAGGGCTGTGTGCACGTGGTCAGCCTTCCCTCAGTCTCGGCATGGCCATGTGTGTCAGTTTGCCTGGCAGTCATCAAGTCCACATTCAAAAGGATTTAGGGTTTAGGATTTAGGGCCCCGGGCATGGGGAGTGAAGGAGAATTTAGGGTTTAGGGCTTCAGGGAGGTCCAATCCCTGAGCTTGCCATTAGGTCCTGCTGTTTGGAGGAGTGAAGTGTCGCAAGGATGCCAATGCAGGCTGAACAGGGCTTGCAACTTGTGAAAGATCCTTTAAACAGCAACCCCAACAGTCCTGCAACGTGAGGAGCAGGCTGATGAAATCGTGAAAGCTCGGGCAGAAAAAAAACTTCCTGGGCAAGCTGTTGACAACCATGCCTGCCCGAGTTTAAGACTTCCTCATCTGAAGCTTACGTGTAAGTGAGGATGGATGGGGTTCTATCCGGTTTACAATGGCCTCACTTCATTCCCACATGAGCGATTCGCAACGAGGGAAGGGTTACTTCCATGAAGAAGGGATCCAAAATCATCACTTGGCGAACTCTTAACATTAGAGTTTCATCATGCTACCAGAACATGTTTTTGCATGTCCAGTCTGTGCCTTGTGCTACTTTGCGCTGTACGAAAGTTAAATGTAAGCCATTTACGCAGTCACCCTGGTATGTCAGTAACTCCCTGTGCAACTTTTGTATATCCATGATGCGCTCTCAGTGCTAGCCTTGAAGCCACCCTGAAAGTCCAGCCAGGCGCGCAAAGCCCGCAGCGCAGCACTGCAGCGTGCCGCTGAGGCCCTTGGCTGGGATTTGAACGGGGCTACCCGGCCCACATGAAGATGTAGCCTCATGCAGCTCCATCGTCTAGTGGGTGGGGCAGTGGCCTAGACATAGGTTTCTGGAGAATTTCCTATTACTTTGAGGTTAGTTGGACTGGAATGCTATTAGGAATGGAGGAGTTCTCAAAGGGTACCCGCTCCTGCACATTTTTTGTTTGTGGGAGACTGAAGTTTTGTTTCCAGCTGGCATGCGGCAACAGTCTTCCCTCCAACACCGCTACATGCCCTAGACATTGGACGACCCTACCGAAAGCGCGCCGGCCTTACCGAAGGAAGCCAATGGACAGGATAGTAGTTGCAACGCATCAACAATTGTAATATAGTGATTGCAGTGCTCTCACTTCTTCATGCTAGGCCCGCTAGGCATTTGTCCGCACGCTAGCCGCAAGCCAAACTATGACATGATCTTCTCACAGCTTGCCATCAGCTGCTGCTAGTGTGATTGCATACTTCATCAATCCCGGGTTTAGGTGGTAGTCTGTGGCGGGCAAACTTCTGGAGACACAAGCAGCGCTTGAGCAGATTAACCTTGAACGCTGCCCTAACAGCAGGTCAACTCCAACCTCGGTGCTTCTTCCTTGCTTCGTGCCTCTGCTGCTGATGGATAAGCAGCATTAGGGATTGGGGGTTGGGTTGGGAAGGACGGGCGAAGGTCAGCCATGGCATGACTGTGTGTGAGCCCAGCACGAGATGAGGCTTAGCTTGCAGGCATGTTGAATTTTAAGGTGTGCCGTCCTTTTTGCCCGCATGTGGAACAGTTGACATTCTCACATGCTAGGTGCATTCGGCCCAGGGAGCTGTGTTTCCACATGGAGAGATGCGACGCTTGACAAGCAAGCTTGCGCAGCCATCTACTTTCTCGCTGCGTTGCATCACAGCCTGTCCCACACCTTCACAGCCTGGTAGACTGCACGCACAGAGGTCTTCTGGAACATGCTTCCTGAAGACAGACTGCCCGGATGCCTGGCATACTGAACCTGAAAAGGTCCAAGGTCCTGCAGAAGGCTGAATGTGGTGAAGAGTGGGGTGACTGCAGCTCACACATAACAAGCAGGCACCTTCCAAGACCAAGGACATCCCATTTTCTGTACTCTCGTGCAATAACTGCTGGCAGTCATGAAGCGGAGCCAACGACTTTGTCATGTGCAGTGTTGAGGTGAGGGTGTGCAAAGTTTCGACTCCTTTGACGTTGGCTTCCTCTGCGAGAACAGCGGACAGGAAGCAACACTTAAGTGATGATGTCGAGTGAAACTCACCATGCCAACTGAGCCATTCTCTATGAACACCTGCTTCAATTCGTTCCAAGACCTCCGCTGGCTCTTGCTTCTGCCAGCCCGACTTCTTGCATGAGGAAATGCAGCAAGATCATCAAGATTTCGGCTGCATGCATAAGACATGTTTTGTAAATTCCCCAGTTCAAGACTCAATTTGGTAGTTTCCGAAAATAGGAGGACCTCAACATTGACCCTAAGATGCGATAGTGCGATAATCCTTATTATTGGGGCCCCTTGTAAGGTACCCCTAATTTTGGGAAAGTCCCATTTCTCAGTGTGCGCCTGTGGAAGACTCGTGAGGAGCCCGTGGAGCATCGCTTTGGCCTCAAGTCATTTGCCAGGGCGGAGGTCCAGGCTGGGTTGAAGCAATGATTGGGGCTATAGTAGGGTATAGGGTTAGGCTATATTGGGGTTATATTGTGGTTAATATATAGGGTTATATAAAGTTAAAGGTATATATAGGGATTATTTTGGGGTTATATAGGGATAATGGAAAAGAAAATGGAAACTACTACAATATGTAGGGGTATATATAGGGATTATATAGGGATTGTAGGGTATATATTGGGCCTATATAGGGATGATGGAAAAGGAAATGGAAGCTACTATAAGACTCGGTTGATACTAAACATCCTGCATAGCTATCTGCGTTAGTATACCTCAGAACCTGGAAATTATGGTTTTTAGGGCTATAAATGATTAACATCATGCAGGATTTAGTATCAACAATTCCACTTTTTCCCGCAGGACACCGCTGTGTCCTGCGAGCGCTGCTTGCCCACGCAGGAGATCTGTCCAAAGCCAGATTCTCTGGTCCTTTCAGGAAGATCATATGAACGGGTTAAAGGGGTTCTATCGGATTCCATCCGCGATAATTGGAGATATACAAGGACATATCGGGAAAGGGTCTGGGTTCCAAAAATCTAGGTCCATGTAACGGAGCTCTGTAGGGAACGTATAGGTTCTTTAGAGGGCTCCATATGGGATATGCAGATGCGCACAATGAAGACACATGAGGGCTTCCAAAAAGTAAGGGGTCCCTTTTACATGTCAATGAGAGTTGCGCATATTGGGGTTGATAAACGGCCCCCAATTTTTAACTCCCAGATTCTTGGTTCCTCCCAGGACATGACCATGACATGACAAATGAACAAATCTGTTCGGTGGATTTAGGGTGGGAATAGAAATATCCATGTGACAGTGTGACTCATCCGAACTTAACCAAACGCAAAGCTTTTCAATTCTGGGGCAATCTTGACCCGGGTGCAAGGAAAAAGTTGCAATTCAGGGGTGGTTGGCGAAAAGAATACATAAACAGTTAGACGCTCATATGGAGCATGTACAAACCCCACTTAGTAAAAGCTACATATGAACCAGTTGAAGGTGGTAGCCGGAGAAGTTAGTGGCAAAGCCATGGCCAGCACCTAGTCCCATGTGTAGCATATGTATCTATAGACTTTAGGGGTATACATAGACATATACATACCCATGTAAAATAACATATACATGTTTATATGCATACACATGTGTACCCCCAGTTTTCTGCGGGCTTGTGATGTGCCACAAGTAGGTCCCGTGCAAAAGTAATCTCACTAGACTAGTCGAGCCTGCAAGAAAGAAACCCTCAAACTTGGCACCCAACACTCAGCCCCGAAAAGAATACGGACCACATTTACATCACAAAGCTCATGGCAGCTTTTCAGACCATGACTCTTCTTTTCGCATTTGCTTAGGACTGTAAATAGTGTCCATGGCCACTTACGACCTAGCAATGATAAGCATTT